GAAAATGGAAAAACATCCCCTGTTCTTGGATAGGCAGCACTAAAACTGTCAAAGTGGCTACATTATCAAAAATGATACACAGGTTTGATGGAATCACTATCAAAATACCATCAGCTTTTTCACAGAACTAGATAAAATAATTCTGAAATATTTATGGGACCGGAAAAGACCCAAAATAGCCAAAGCAATTCTGAGCACTAAGAGCAAGATAGAAGATATTACAATCTGAGGTTTCAAATTACATTATAAAACCACAGTAGTAAGAACAACGTGGTACTCACACAAAAACATATTGATCAGTGGAATAAAGGATGCAGAAATAACTCCACACAACTTCGGCCATGTGATTTTTGACAAGAGGCCAATAGCATACACTGAAGAAAAGATAGCTCCTTTAACAAACGGTAGTGGGAAAACTAGCCGTACATATGGAAGGCTGGGGATTTAGCTCAATGTCATAAGCACCTGCCTGGCAAGTACAAGGTCATGAGTTTGATCCCCGATACCAAAAAAAAAAAAAAAAAAGAAAGAAAAAGAAAAAGAAAAAGAAACAACCCATGACAAAGAACAAACTTTGATTAATGTTAGTCACCCACTAATCAAATCAAAACAGATCAGAAATCTACATATAAAAGCAGAAATATGGAATTTCCCAGAGGAGGGGAAAAAATAATAACATCTTTGAAGACACAAGCTTAGGAAAAAGACCTCTTGAATAGAACCCCAATTGCACAAGAAATAATACTGAAAATAAACAAAGAGATACATGAATTAAAAAGCTTCTGTACAGCAAAAGAAACCAATAACAAGATAAAGAGATAACCTACAGAATGAGAAAAAAATTTTACTGGCTTAACCTCAGAGGATTAACATCTAGAATATATAAAGAATTCAAAAATATTAGACCATCTAAAATAAAAGACCCAATCAAAAAGTAGACAACTGAAATGAATAGACACATCATAGAAGAATACAAATGTTCAATAAATACATGAAAAATATTCAGCATATTTGGCAAATCAAAACAACACTAAAATTCCACTTTACTCCAGTGAAAATAACCATTATCGAGGACTCAGAAAATAACAAATGCTGATGAAGTTATGGAGAAAAAGAAACTCCTTATATTTTTGGTGGGAATGTAAACTAGTGTAACCACTTTTGAAATTAGTATGCAGATTTCTCAAAAAACTAAAAAACAAATTCTGTCAAACTCAACTCTGCCTCTCCTGGGTTTTTTTCTGAAATAGTCAAATACTGCTGCTATACAAGTATATCCATGTTTCTAGCAGCACAACTCACAATAACTAAATAGCAGACTGTATACCCCTCAATGAATGAATGTGTAAAGAAACTATGATATAAATACACATTGAGGTACTACTCAACCATTGAGAAGGATAAATTTGCTGGGAATATAGCTCAGTGGCACAGCGCCTACCTGGCAAGTGTGAGGTCATGAGTTTGATTCCCAATACCAGAAAAAAGAAAAGAATAAATTCGAGTCATTTGTAAAACAATGGGCAGATCTCAAGATTGTAACACTAAATGAAATAATTCAGTCACAAAAAGGTTAAGTATTGTACAGTTTTTCTGAGAAACTCATAAATAATTTTAAAAGCAAACTAAAGACTATACTTAAGAAATAAGGAGGTGGACACTGTGGAGCAGGAAAGGGGATCTGGGGAAGTAAGGAGAGGTAAGATCAGGAGAAGGGAGGAGGAGTAAAAATGATTAAGATACATATCTCATACCTCCAAGGTAAATGTAATTACTATGTATTGTAAAACATACTTGTAAAAAAATTTAAAATGTTTATAAGTTCTGAGACCAAAATCATCTTTTTCCTGTGTTCACAGGGTGAGCACGGACTACCTGGTCAACCCGGAATTCAAGGTAAAAGAGGTCCCCAAGGAGCACAAGGTGATCAAGGACCACATGGAGAGCCTGGCCTGAAAGGGCAGCCTGTATGTTCCAACTCAGAAATTCACCAAGCTCTTTATAGAACAGGCCACCAGGGCACAGGAATAATCCTCCTGTTTATTTACATTTCAGGGAGAACATGGTGATCAAGGTTTGACAGGTTTCCAAGGATTTCCAGGCCCCAAAGTAAGTTTATATATTTTTTTGCTATGTAATTATTTGGGGGGAAAAAGATGTTAAAATACTAATATGTAGTCTCTGATTTGAATCTTTATTTTCTGTCTATAAAAGTCAGTTGGTACAAAGTCATATATTTGATTTTTGAAAACCTTGATTTTAAAACACATGTAGTTATACATTTTTCTAGCAATTTTATTGTGTGCTTTTCTTTGTTTCTATTAGAATAGTTTTGAAGACTGAACTGTCTTCAGAGGGGTCTTGACTTGGGGATCAGAAGACTGAATAGTTTTGATAGACTGGTATGAGATTATTTTGTTTTGACTTTTGATTTTCTGTTTCTTACTTTATGCCTAGGGTCCTGAGGGGGATGCTGGCTTTGTTGGAATAATAGGTCCTAAAGGTCCTATTGGGCAGAGAGTAAGTAAAGTCATTCTGTCTATCCAGAAATTGTGCTTTTTTGCTTATTGTAGTACTTACAAACTCTAAAATTAGTATACTCAGAATTAATAACAATTTTGAAATTGAAACTCATAAGAGCAGTTTAACCTTTGCTTGAGGAAAATGGGCCATTGACCACCTGTAATTTCCAGTCCTTACTTTTTAAAAAAAAATAGTATTACTGTGAAGACTGGACAATCTATTGACTTACATGAGGAGTGAAAACATACATCCATTTCATTTTATGAGCATTAACATAACTAGAGATCACTCCCATGAGGAAGCTCGCCTATGATCACAATTTGAAAAATATTTCCTGATAGCTGTGTTTTCCCAGTTCAGTGGCAGTTATCCCAAGAGAGTGATGAGAGTTGTTTAAGGAGTTTCAAAAATCGGGGTCTAAAGAACTCAGGAAGTTAGTGCTTATATTTGCAAACTGTAGGAATATACATAAGCCACCAATAGTTACTGGTTTGATTTGGTTTGGTTTAGTTTTAGTTTTAATCACAGTCTCCTAATTGATGATGATCTATAAAACTGAAATTTAAAAAAAAAAGATTCTAAAAAAATGATTTGGCTGTGGTAGTAGTATTTCTATGGCTAACAGCTACCAAGGTGAGTCTAGAGAGAACAGAAAGCAGACGATGTCGTTTCGCTCCAGGAGAAAGTAGTCATAGAGAGCTTTATAGCTGAATACCATTGTCTTGCACAGAATATTACAGTTATATTTTTAAAATTTTATTCTCTTTCCCTACCTTTTACAATAAGTTCTTTTCAATAATACAGAGAACAGTCTTGTTGTTTAAAGACCCCTCTTTTCATTGCTTGAGGTATAAATTTATTATTTTCACAAGCTCTGAGGAACCAAGGAAACCAGGTGCTTTTACAGACAGTCCAATTCTTGATTATTTGCAGGTAGTTTATATTAAAATAGGCCAATCTACAATAAATATTGCTCTATATTCTTATTTATATTAAATTCCTCCACTAATTTGCTCCATTCATTCTAGTTTAGGTTTTCAATTAACTCCATGTTTTCTTGATCTTGTTAAAGTGTCTGTTTGTCTACCATCTGTGCTAATCAAGGTCTCATGAAGTGCTGATTCTCTGTGGACCACAATCTGAGTATATATTGCTTTGAAGACCTAGAAATTATCATCTTATTAATAGTAAAGTTTGGATAACTAGCTCACAACTACTAAATTACAAACACAGATATTTGGTTATTAAGTCACTAGAGGAGACAAGTAAAAGGTCTTGGTATGTTAGTATTTAGTAAACCACACTTTGTGTTCCTTATTTCATTGAATACTCATAAAAATACTATGAAAGATACTAACATTCCCATTTGCAGGTGTAGAAACAAAGTCTCTGAAAGATAATTTGTTCACCACTAGTAAATTAGAGGAATCAGAATTTGAATCCATATCTGATTGATTAAATTATATTATAGGGTTGCTTTCTAATTACATAATTGGTATACAGAATGAATACTAACTGAGCCATTGCCTGATACCTATCCCCAAGTCAATAAATACTTATTTAAATAAAATTAATTGAACTGAAAAATCTGAATTCTCTGCCATTTCAAAGATGTAGTTAGCTGGTATCCACAATTAAATTCATAGCACCACATCTTTTGAATGCAGTTAGATAAATTTAGATAGTTGTTTACTCTTTTGATCTACTTTTTTCTAGAAGCCAGGTATTCGTCTCTATTCTTTTAATAAATCATTATTGTTTTTAGTACTGGGAACTGAACTCAGAACCTCACACTTGCAAGTCAGACACTGTGCTTCTGAGCTATATCCCTGGCTCATAAATCATTATTTTATTTTTTTAATTTTTATTTTAAAGGGGGTAAAATTAAACACAACAAAACAGAACAAAATAGGACATAAGAAAGCAATGTAAGAGATACAAATTTCAAAACCAGATGATTTGAGATCTTCACTCTCTCTCATATTGTCTCATGTTTTCTTCCAAATAGTTGTCCATGTCTTTGCATACAGAGAATTCATACAAAACAGCACAGTATAAAACTGATCCAAACAGAATGAGGAGGGTGTTTTAGGTCTTCAGAACCAGACAATAGAGAAGTCAATAATGGCTGTCATGGAGTCTTTTGTTCTCTTCAAAATAGCTGTCCATACTTTTATGTATATTGAAGTTCAACAAGACAAAATAGGTGTGTGTGTGCGGGGGGGGGGGGGGGGGGTCTTGGTTTCCTGGCTCCAGGTCCCAGCATGGCACAGGTCCCCAGTAAATGCCAGTGGCTCCCATTATGGGCCATCAGATCCTGCCACACGCACAGCTGCTCACTAGGGGGTTGCTTGGTTTCCCGATGCTCAAGGTCCCAGCATGGCGCGGGACCTCAGTAAACACCCATGGCTCCCGTCCTGGGCCACCACACTCTGCCACACTCACAGCCACTCACGGTGGGTGGGGGGGGTGCTTCAAGCTGTTTCTAGAAAAATGAATTGACCATTTCACTACCCAAGTTCTGAAATGGCCAACAGACCGTAGAAATACATCTCTTTAGGCTCCTGTTTGAAACCAACAGCATCAGGAAGCTGCCGGTCTTGATTCAGGGCCAGGATAAACATTATTTTAGAGAGTTACATCAATTTACTTTATTAGATTAAAGCTCTCTTGATTTTTTTTTTTTAGTGATGTCAAAAGCAACATTTGATTAGGTCAAGAAAACAACTTTCTTGACTGAGGGATCTTTCAAATTCAAATATCATATGTATGAATTATCACTTAGAGTTGATTTTTGTGTTTAAAATTTATTCCTTTAGATTTACACTATCAAGTAATTTGTCAGTCTAGACCGATTTAGTATTAAAGCTATCAGTAGATGAACCACACTACATTATATTTCCAGTAATCTATTCCTATACCTTCTGTACAGAAATTTTTTCAAAAATTTATTCATCATTCTAATATTTTAGAGAAAATGTTTCCTTTGTTATGTAATAGCACAATGATTCATTGAATTTATCACCACATAAATACTGTAACTCTGAATTATATTCATTAGAAATTTTACAAATATATAAAGTATTGTATATATAACAATTATACATTTATATATAGATATAGATGCCTTGAAAGAAATCTACAATAATATGCACAGTTGTATCATACAATGTGAATCAAGATAACTGGTTTATACTAATGCTTTAAGAAATGCTTTATATTAATGCTTTATATAAAACTGTAATTATTTGGATGTGGTTTTAACATTGCAAGAAAATTCTCTAGAGATTTTCTGGATTATTCTCAGAATAAGCCTGGCTTATCTTTCTTTAACCCCAACAGGGAAACACTGGCCCTCTTGGCAGAGAAGGTATAATAGGCCCAATGGGTAGAACTGTAAGTCTGTCAAAATATGGATCTTTTTTTCTCTTTTATGCTTTTCTCTTATTCCTATTTATAGAATAATCCTCCAAGAATCATCTTGATAAAAAAGGGCAAAAGTAAATAGATATTTTTCTTCTTGAAGGTCATTTTGAGAATTTAAGGTTTATACATGTAATAAAGGTATGAGAATGAGGGAGCTGAGAAAACAGAAGTGAGGTGGAGAAGGTAATATCATAAGCAAAGGCATGATCACCAAAGCAATAAACTTGGATCATTTTTCAAAAGGAAAGAATATAGATGACAAAAGAAGGACAGACCACCAAGATTTGAGTATTTGAAACTATCCAATGCAAGGGAGAAGTAATCATTGATCAGGATAAAATAAAAACCAAGATAAGTCCAAGGTTATATAGATTAAATTTCAAGAATGGTCAGTGGTGATCTTTAAGGGACTAAGTTGTAATACAAGATGGAGTATAGATTATAGTGAAGAAAGAAATGGATGAAAACTTTTAATAACTTTTTCTCAGATACTTTTTTTATTCCCATGAGTTTAGTTTTATTTTGTTTCTCTTCCCCCAGCTCTCATATTCTTACAGCAAACTTCTGGAATAAATAGTATTTCCATTTAATAGATGAAGAAGCAAATGAGATTTATAGAGATTTACCTAGTCATCCAAAGTGATAGAAATAGTGAATTCCACAGCTGATGTTTCTTAGACAAGCACTCTTTCCACCCATTCACGCTACTTCTAGAGACAAAATTGAGGCAACATATTTCCAGTTAACTTATGATATTTGCCTATGATGTAAAATAAACAAGACAATTACTGGGAAGGTGGTCATGGGAAAGTTTTTGTAATTCTGATAATAGTGTAAACATGAAAAAAAAAACCACTACAATATGAGAAATTGAGACTTGGAAAGGGAAAATTAATTCCCTTCAGAGAATTCATATTTTGAATCAAGTGCTATAGACCCACAGAGATAAAAAAAAAAAATTACAATGGAATGCTTCAAGAATTAAGTTTAGGGGCTGGGATTTAGCTCAGAGGCATAAGTGCCTCCCTTGCAAGTGTGTGGTCGTGAGTTCAATCCCTGGTACCCATAAAAAAGAAAAAGACAAAAAAAAAATTAAGTTTAACTATTATCTTTGATAATGAATTCACCACCAGCATTACTAGGTTTTTAGTTAAATGAAGAAAATGTGAAACTCAGCATTCTCTAGACTTCCAACTGTTGATACTCAGAACTATATAATATTGTAAGTAGGACAGTTCTTACATTTCAGTGAGTGTTTCTTCAGCAATTTTTTCTGATTATGGAATGATTGTTCTCTTCTGTCAAAATATGAAATATTAATTGTTCAAGGAAAATGTGATAAGGAAATGTCTCGATTAAAATATCTCAGTGTTTTGTCTATAGTTGGTTGTTAAAGGGCCTTATAATGTTCAGTATGCATATCAAATTTTTTCATACTCCATTTTTTCCATTCTAAGATGAAAAGTTCATTATGAAAAAATAAGCATTTGAGAATGGCAAAAACATCATGGAAAAAAACAGTAGTTGAGCTGAAGATTTTGGTTTTCCAAATAAGAAAACAGTAAAACTACAAAGTCATTGTAAATGAAGTTACACATATATAAAATTATGTAATAGTAAAAAAATGATCAGTTTAATAAACTAGAGCTTAGAAATAGATCTATAATTATAATGAAAATGGTAAGTCAGGATTATTTTGACTGCAAGTAACAAGAAACCTCAAATGAGCTTTAACATAAGGAAAATTATGTCCCATTGTAGATAGTAAAAGCTTCAAATTTGGTTAATTTAGTGACACCATTATGTTGTCCAGTACCAGATTATTTCCATATTTCTACTCTATCCTGAATTCTAGCTTCATTTTAAGCAAATGGACTTATAATAGTGATGGCAAACCTTTTAGAGCTTTCAATGGTAAACAGCCAGCTGTGGCATGCATGCATGCAGTAGGCTTGTCAACATGAGAGAATACAACTTCTTGAGAATCACATCCAGATGTTGCATATTCCTAGCATCTGAGGAGCATTCAACCACGTGGCCAGTCCTGCATCAGTGATAGGAAAGGGACACAGAATCATTTTGAGTACCATTACTGCTATAAGAAATTAGAACCTGGTTTCATCAATACTTTTAAACTCTGGATTAACTTTTTAACACTTTAATATAAAAAACTGAAATAATAATCTTAAAAAAAATAGAAAATTAAAGTATAGCTTAAGAATTCAGAAGACATATATAAGAAAACTGATCACTGTAAATAAACATTATAATCTTTAAATTTTCACTAGGGTAGCCATTATTGATTTCCTGTTATCTTGTTTCAAAGTCCTGTATCATGTTCACTGTTTTGTTTTGATTGGCTCTATTCTATTTTGTTTGGTTTTATTCTCTTTAAAATAAAAAAGTTTTAAATTTTGTATGGAATGATATTCCTAAATAACATCCAAAAATTAATACAGAATTGAAAATATTTGCAAAGCATGTGTATATTATTTAATATACAAGGATCTGGTATGAAAAAGAAAAAATAGAAGTATAAACTCAAAAAGCCAACTATTATTTTGTAACATACATACCTAATTTTAAGCCAAACAAATGCAAATTAAAGTAATTATATCTATGTAAAGCAAACTGCACCTAACTTCCCTGGTAAAAATGTGAATTATTGCCTACATAAAAAGATATTTATTCAAGTATATATATTATGTACTTTAACCAAGCAATTCTGTCTGAGAAATTTGCCCCAAAGGTAAAAAGTACCCAAAACACTAAAAGAATTTGACAAAGATTTTTTTCACAATATGGTATTGTTGAAATCATCTGAATATTTACCTGCAAATAAATGCACAAATAATTATAAATCACTTCATAAAATATTATGCAGTTATTAAAAGGAATTGGGTGTATTTTGCTTGGCCGAATATCAGTTATTTCATGATGCATTCCAAGTAGGATCATTATATAACATAATCCTAACATAAAATATGACCAGTACCCACGATAAATATGTAAATACACTTGTCAATATTTGATTAGGAAAAAAGCACGAAAATTTATGTCCTAGATTGTTAACACTAGTTATGGAGTAGAGAAGGATGGGGGAAATGCTGTAAAGCTATCTTAACAGTCAGTCTTGATAGTTGATACAGGGTTGACAGGACAAGACAGGAAACAAAAGGATTATTATAAATGGCAAATAAATAAGAATATTTTAACTTGCAAACAAAGAAAATGGCATCAGAAGAAACATACACTCCCATATTTTTCAAGTGTACAATAGTAAACAATTAGAACAATTTGTAACAAGAAATTACAGAGTATAAGAATATTTATATCACAGTGCTATTGATAGTTTAAATTTTTTAATTTCAGAAATGGAAATTAAATACAAATAATTATAGTTTAGTAAATTTTAGTATTAAAATTATATTATGGAATGTGGATTGACATGGAAACCATCATTATTATAAACCATCAGTATTATTATTGGGTTTTTTTGTTCTTTTTTTTCTTTCTCTTCATCCTTGAATAAAATGGATTTGGGAAAAAATATAAATAGTATCATTTTATCAAAAAATATGTAATATCCACAAGAATTTAGGTGAAAATATTAATAACAGTTACAATGCAAGAAGAGCAGACTACATACTCTTTTCAAAGTACATGTAGAACAGTCACCAAAACAGATGATATTTTAGATTGTAAACCAAATTTACTAAACTTACAAGAACTGAAGTCACACAAGGTATAATCACTGGCCAAAATAGAATTAAACTAAAAATCAAAAACAGATAAAAAGAAAATCTTCAAATACCTTTAAAATTAAATCACACATTTCTAAATAATCCCAGGATCAAAGAAGTCCCAAGGGAAGTTAGAAAATACTTTGAACTGAGTGAAAACATACAATTCAAAATGTGCCTGTTGCAGCTCAGAAAGGAGAATAAACAGAGAAGATGAAAGAAAAGGAGGAACTAGCTTAGAAAAAGGATTTTCAAAGGTTGAAGGAAACAAACAGTAAAATTTAACCTTAATTTAGAATTTCCTTTCTAATTTTTTTATGTGATTGTCAGATCAGCTGTTCTGACTTAAATGAAGGAATAGTTTGTAGTCCTCACCTCACTTTAAAATGGATTTGGAGATAGTAAATCAGAAGCATCATGAACCAATAGGTTATTTTTGTTTGTTTTTGCGAACTCAGGGAAACAAAATTGAAATGCATATTAAATTAACAAATTTTTTACTACAGAGAAAAATAAAACTCCAAAGTGTCATTTTTTTTTTATGTACAACCTCAACTACATTCAATTTATAATTATTGATTATACTGACCCAACATTGTTTTTCTCCCTTGCAGGGCCTGAGAGGTGAAAAAGGCTTTAGAGGAGAAACTGTAAGTATAACTACTTTTGTGACTATAATATACCTTGTCACTAGGCTATAAACTAGGGGAAATCAAGGATCTTGTTATAATTGTTCATCATTATGTCCTTGCTGCTTGCAATATAAAAATAAAATTATACTTTTCAAGAAGAATTAACCTATGTGGTATATTCCAGTGAAATCTGATAAATCATTAAAAACATTAAAGAACCTGCCAGCTATTCTTCCTGGATCACTGTGTGAAAATGGTATTTGCCCTGTAAGGCATCAGGAGAGGAGATGGATGTCTTCGCTAGTAACAGAAGAAGAGCACTGCAAAGTGGCTTTAAGTATACATCCACTATCCAGTCAGAACTGACTAGGTCAGAAGCAAATCATTAGCTGTGTATTTCAGCCAATTAGAAATAATACCAGGAGGTGGAGCCAATGGTATTTTTAAGACCTAAATGGCTTTTACGGACACTATTTCACATATTCTTAGAATGTCAATTCTTCCAAGTTAAAGGAGGACATTTCCACTTCCCCAGCAGAGACTCAACCGAGCAGACTTTTTAACACAAATTGTACTGTTTGGATTATGGTATATAACATGATGTATGGGATGCATACAATAAAAATGTTACTACGGTGGAAAACGCTAACATATCCATCATCTCACATAATTACCCTTTTTGGTGGTTTGTGTGATAAGAGTAGCTAATATTTTACACAGCACAGGATTCCTGCTGAACTTACTGAAGCAGCAGACATAAGCAGGAGGCAGGAGGAAGTGAACAGAAGATTGAAAGTATACAAGCTCTATAAGAATAAAATTAATGATAGCAGTAAAGTCTTAACTAAAAGATAATGAGTTCACATAGTGATGGCTGATTTTTCCTTCTCATGACAGAGTATGCTTGGACTTAGAATATGAAAGTTATGGGTATATTAAAGAGCTGAAAAGGGGAAATACAGTGGTATTATACTTCAGTTCACTTAACATCCAACTCTGTTTGTGACTAGAATCATGGAAAGAATCAAGTTCATGAACTGAAGTACCACTGTATGTGAATTTAGATAGCCTAAGAATTCTAAAAGGACAGTACAACAAATGTGTTAAAGTTGTGGAAATGTGGCCATCACTGTCTCTCAGTAGACTTCACAGAACAAGAAGCAAGAATACACACACATAGTGAAGCTGTATCCTTCAAGAGGGATGGAAATGAGAAAAAAAAGTAAAGAGATGTGAAACTAGCTGGCTTCCCACACCTTTCTGCCTCTGCATGCCTCCTGGACTTTACCTCTCCAAGTAATGTGGCTAGAACACAAATTTCTATTGGGATTAGGATATTTCAACTATCTATAGCAATGTCCCATAAGTATTTCATGAGGAAAAAGAAAAGCTGAGTGGCTCTGATGAATTACAAACTCAATGGATTAAGACTACAGTGTTCTGTTGTACTAATAGAAATATGACCTCCAGAATAAAGCAAGAGAGAGACCAGTTGAAATATCTGCGATATTTTAGAATCAGCTTCTGCTAGACTCTGTAGCCTAAGTACATCATAGTCCTCGTACTTTCTGTTCTCCCCTCACTCCTCACTTTTGCACCTATTTCTATAATGTCTTCCATCTTCTCTTAGTTCTGCTCTTGAAGTTTTAAATATGAAAAGATCATTTGCTCAGGGTGGACTTGCTGATATCTTGGACACACTCTGCTCCCATCACTGGTCATAATTGTTAGTACCTAACACCTAGCATAATGCCTGATACCTTAAACATCTTTTCATTTAAAAAGGCTTTTTCTGATTAACCTATATGTAATATCAATATCCCATCCTTCTGAGACACCTTATCTTTCCTTAACCTATATCTTCTTTATATCTGGCATATTAAATATGTATTTTTACTATGATTCCACTAAGTAGAATGAATGTAGGCTCCCTGACACAGACATTTTATCTGTTGCGAATGTTTGTTTAAATGTTGTGCCCACCTGTCTTACACTTGGCGTTCAAAATATATTTCATAAATACATAACCAAATTAGGGTAACTGAATTAGGGAAGGTTTGAGGTTTGAGACATGACTGTTGCCTTCAAATATTTGAAAAGTCTTGAGGCTTCCAGGTGCAGTGAAGGAGAGAGGTGGGTTTGAGGCTTCCACATCAGCCTCCCCATTCCCGGCTTCATTTGGAGACCTGCTGAGCTCCCCATAGGTGGGCTGGCCCACACTACCAGCCTAGCCCAGCCTGTTTAGCTGCCGCGCCTGGCCATTGGTCTGCAGAGAGGAGCTGGGCAGATCTGGGGTGCCCTCACTGGCCTCTCTGCGTGTCTGGAGGACTCTGGATATCTGCGCCCAGACTGCTGGAGTTCCCTCAGGCTTCCAGGTGCAGTGAAGGAGAGAGGTGGGTTTGAGGCTTCCACATCAGCCTCCCCATTCCCGGCTTCAGTTGGAGACCTGCTGAGCTCCCCATAGGTGGGCTGGCCCACACTACCAGCCTAGCCCAGCCTGTTTAGCTGCCGCGCCTGGCCATTGGTCTGCAGAGGAGGAGCTGGGCAGATCTGGGGTGCCCTCACTGGCCTCTCTGCATGTCTGGAGGACTCTGGATATCTGCGCCCAGACTGCTGGAGTTCCCTCAGGCTTCCAGGTGCAGTGAAGGAGACAGGTGGGTTTGAGGCTT